ATGAAATAGAGTCATTATTTCATATATAATCCTTTTGTGTTTTGCTATGTAAAATAATAATAACAATTAGCATTTATGTAGTGAGTACTCTCTGCCACGCATTGTGCTAAACACTTCACAAATTTGTTCTAATTTGATCCTAACAAAAATCCTAGGAGGTAAGTGCTATTACTATCACCCCCATTTTATGATAAGGAAGCTGAATAAAACAGAGGTTAAATAACTTGGTCAAGGTCTCATAGCTAGTAAGAATTTGAGACAAGATTTAAATTCAGGCCTTTCTGACTCCAGGTCCAGTACTCTGTCTACTGTAACACCTAGCTGCTTTATGTATACTAAAATGTTCTTGGGGGTAGGGGGAGCAGAGAGTTGTCCTTAAGTTCAGATTTTTAAAAATTTAGAAAGATTGAAGCAAAAAAAAAGATGTGTAAAGTACCTTCACTTGAAAAGGGGGAATTGAAGCAAGTCATAATAAGTTTTATTTACCCCATTTGATAGATAAGTAACTGAGGCTCGGAGAGGTTAATTGATGACTGGCCCATGGTCACACAGTCGGTATCAGAGCCACAACTCAAAACTGTCTTTGAAAAAAGAGACTAAGATTTACAAATGAATATTCTAAACTTGAAATAAATATGAAAATCTAAGCTTGAGGCCAATGTTCTTAAGGATAGAGCAACAATTAATTCTGTTTATCAAGGAGATCCAGGAAAATTATTTGCCAGTTATGTGCTCAAGGTGTAAAATTCAGTGATCTTCACTTAGCAATGTCTGGGAAAAGTTCATCAAAACAAAAACAAACTGAGCTATCCATCTCCCGCAAAGTATTCTCAAAGTAAAATAAAAGGAAGCCTCCCTCCCTTCCCCAAGGTGAAACCTTGTAATCAAACCATCAGCTTAATAGGGGTTTTTACCCTAGTATGTGTATATCACGGACCCCTTTGGCAGGCTGGAGAAGCCTTATGAAGTCCTTCTCAGAATAATGTTTTTAAATGCAAATAAAGATAAAACCCTTTATATGATTTTTAATTATATCAAAAAACAATAATAAAATACTTTTTTTAAAAAGCTCATATATCTCAGTTCAAGAATTCCTGCTCCAGAGTCCCACAGCTCTTTACGTTACATAATGCACCATTTGTGCTCCTTCTGAGAACATGTGAGAACACAACGAGAACAAAGTGAGCAGTGTCCTCAGTGACAGAAACATTAAGAAGCTGCTCTTTTTTTGGAAAAGCAATGAACCAGCAAGGACCATTAGAAATGTAAACACGTCAGACCTTCAGTATCCTTCCCCATCCTGTCCCCCAATCTTTACCCATGAAATTATTTTTTGGAATCTACTGAAATCCTATATTCTTTCCACTAAAGACATCCAGAGCTACTGAGCAACATCCTTGTTACCCCTGTAACTGCCCTAGTTTACAAATTAATAACCCGGGTTGCTTGTGGAAGCAAATATTTATCAGTGTGTGTGTGTGTGTGTGTGTGTGTGTGTGTGTGTGTGTGTGTGTG